CAAAATCGGTCGAATGTTGTCTAGAGTAAGTCTCTTGTTCATATCTTTATGCTGGGGTATCACCTAAGCTATCTTCCACACAGAAGGAATCCAAGAGTGTTCTGTAGAATAATTTACGGTATCCAATAACACATTCGTGGAGCAACATCCAAGAAGATTTTAGGCATCTGCTTAGTGGTACTATCAGTGCCTGGTGCCGCCGCTAGTAAACGTGCTACAACTGACGAGAGAACCGACAATGATATATCTTCAGTATTTTCGAGAGTGTCTTGCCTCACGAGAGGTGAATGAATACAGGCAGAAAATCTAGCCTCCAAACCACTGGCAATTGCGCCTAGTGAATCTTCTGTTTCTTAGGTAGTATGTACTATTGATTCTGTATTTAAGGAACGTGGAATTAGTTTGACAATGCTGAGATAACGAAACAATGCGCTCTAATTTTTTTATTTTAAAAGGAACTCAAAATGGAGAACGTTACATTCATCTTTTGCTTTCGCGACAGTACGCCTGAAACTCGCTGCAATAAACTTGTAGTTGTTTCATCTATTAGGAGTCTGGTTATACATGAGTTGCTTCTATGCCGGGTTCCGGCGTTCGTAGTCCCTCGAGTAGTCGTCATTCCACCAAATATTAGCTGTAGGGTCATTAGCTGTAGGGTCTTTTCTTCCTTGTATCTTGAACTCTGACCTCTTACGAGCAGAGTCAAGAATGTTGCAAACATTACCTGCGCTGCTTGGATTTTGAGACAAAGATGTAAAATTGCCCGCAAGTTTATTTTAAACGTAACGTGATCAATAAACAAATGAACGAGACACTGTGCATCATACTGTGACCCGTGGATCTCAAAAATAACGGGAATGTGGTCGCTAATCGAACCAGTGTCAACCAGGACAACACAGAGAGTCCTGGACCCGAAAACGTAAGATCTAGCAGCGATCGGGACTGGCCCCGTAAAAATGCTAATGATGCAGTGTTCTGACAGGTGAAATAGTTCAAGGCTAACAAGCGACCGAGCGAAGACAGTCCTTCATCTTCTTCGTCGGCAACATACGCGCATAGTCAATGAGAACATCAATGTACGCGCATATAGCATAATTCCCATTGGCGGAAGTGCCCTCTCAATGCATCTAGGCATGTCTCCGGGAGAGTGGTAGAACTTCAAGCGCAACACATGTAGGATATCGGTAGGCTGTGGGGCAGATGAAGGCTATGAGGCGACATGGACATTTCCATTGTTACAGGAGTAACTACCCGAAGGACTCGATATATACCTGAATAGCAGGAAAGCAGTTTTTCGGACAAGCCGACTTGATGGGTTGGAGACTACAGCAAGACCAATGAACTGCACAAAAAGTGCACTTTGCGGTGTCATCCATAGTACAAACGCCGTTCGTTCTTTTGAGAGGTCAGAAGGCGAATACGGAAAATTTTACGTCCATGAGCAGCCCGGGTGACAACATCAAGGGCATATTCAGTGGTCAGTACTGTGGGAGACAGTATGACTGTGTCTATAGGCAATGCTAGTTCTCGGCCGAACAACACAAAAGATGAAGAGCAAGCGACTGTGTGATGGCACTGATAATTGTATGCAAATTTCACGTACGGCAGAGCAAGATCCCAGTCGGAGTGGGATCTTGCTTTTTCTTGAAGAAAAATACTCAGCTAGCATGTCTGTAAGAGTTCGATTGAGACGCTCCGTGAGTTCTTTTGTGTGCTGAAGGTATGGCATAGCCAGCTTGTGCCTCGTTTCACATGACTGCAAGATATCGGCTAAGACCTTCGATAGCAAGGAGCGGCCATGGTCTGTAAGCAGCTGGTGGGGAACTCCATGTTGCAAAATCACGTCATGTAGGATAATGTCGGCGACATCTATGACACGGCTTGTAGGAAGAGATTGTGTAATTGCGTAACGCGTTGTGTAACCTACAATGATGGCCACAATGATTAATAAAGTTCGTTGAATTGAGGCTGATGTTCACCTGATTCCTTCTAGCAGTGTCACGGTTGGCCTCAAGTTCAACTCGACTGGCACAGGCCTTGCAATAGCTAGTACCGCTTGTGTGGTAGGTGCAGGGGTGCCGTTCGGTGGACTTAAAAAAAGGCACTGAAATACCAGCCCATAGTCGTCAAAATAGCCATGTAATTTAATGCTACCGCCAAATTTATAGCCAAATAAAACTATAGCAGTATTACGAGCAGAGGTTTTACTATAGATGAACAAATAAAGCCATTGTCAATAGCTAAAAGCAGAAGTATAAAAGTAGCAAGAAAATACCCATGGCAACAACCAGCAATTTTGGTCGCAAAACAGTTGAAAGCAGCCAATTTGGCGTAATGTATGCACCAATGGCAACCATGGGTAGAAGCAAGCGCCTGGTGCAGGATGGATGGCAACTGGCGTGATGATATAATACCACAGAGCTTTATTATGTTCTCAAGAATGATGTAAAGGCAGCGAATGGGAAGAAGCCTTATTTTGCATGGAATTTAAGAGTTGCAGTGTCAGTGTTGTTCTGAATACGAGCGTGAGGGCAGCTCAGTCTGAAGTTCTCCACAACTAGTTTTTAGAAGCTTGTAAAGAGCTAGGCTTAATCTTGTCCGTATACTGAACCGTAGCATGACGCACTACTACCAAGGGTTAAGGGGTAGTTACTTCAAGGTTGCTTCAATATTTCGGTTTATGTCTTGTCCCTTTGTCAGTGTTGTTCTGACATGAACTAGTGAAGTTTAGGTTTTCAGAATTTACAAAGTGAGCAAAAGCATCATATAAAAACATGAACTCAGGACGCTATGATTGGTTTAAAAAATGCTGTCCAGCAAACGCGGCTATACTTATGGCCAGGTTCTTGACACCGTTCTCAAGGAAAACTGTCGATCCGCTCGGTCGACAGCGTAAACACGACGCCGTCTAGATAACATTATCCCGCAAGCCGTCATACGACACCTCTTCCGTGAGGCAAAAAAAAAATGACATAACCGGTTTTTTTTCTCAATGTGTTTCTTTTTTCAGAATAATAAAATATTCATGCATGTGTGCGAAACGCTTAATACGTTAATACGTATTATATATATTTGCTAAAGTTTAATATGTGAATTCCTAATTTGACAGCGTAGAAGGTCGCTGCTTGCAATGATAAGGAGTCATGGTCAGCTCGTTCCTGAATTGAGGCGAAGTGCTCCTGTTATGCTAAATGGAGAGCCGCCATGCTGAATACAGCTGTTTTTACGAAAAACTGACCTCTACTGCATAAAAGAAAAGCTATCATGTTAATGTCTGTTTGTACAATGTACAATTATGAAGCTATTAGCATTTTTGTTGCCATTGCAATTACTCAGCCCTGTCACTGATAATGTTTGGAAATGTTTTTATGTGGTGTAATTATTGTTCATGTGATTTTGCACCCTTTGCTGTAATTGATAAAAGTTTATATGCTGTGCTTGAATCTTACTTGTCTGTCAGTGAATGCAGGTGTTAGTTTTACGCGAAAGAACAACACGCACAGTTGTTCCCATTGACAAGTAGTCTGCCTTCCAAGATGAAAATGAGAAAAAGACTTGGCGGTATGGTTCTTAAGGTGTGTTCATTACACATTCACCTAACACAATGATAATGGTTTGCGCGTGTTTCAGCAGAAATTATGACCTCCGTATTGCTATTCACTATTTCACGCTTGGAAACAGACATAGCAAACTGCAAAGGGGATGCTATACAATAAGGATTGTCGCTAATTAACTGTAGCTTCAGCTGTAGTATGCGCTTGTGCGAAGCTAACTCCACCAGTAGAGCTCATGAACTCGTGGAACACGAAGCACCAAACAGGAAGGGGGTCCTACAACGGCCTGCATTAGGTGCCTCTGCCCTTTCCTCAAACAGCCTTGCATACTAAGTGCCTCCATGTCGCATGGACGTTCTGTTAAATATTGAGTGATCAGCTGCGTATAAAACAAATCATTTTTATGAGAGCGTCTCATACGAGTGTTTCCTTTGTTTCATCTATAAAATATAAATTACTTCGACGAAACAACATTTCTCCGCCCTCACTTACTGACCGTTTTCAGGTCATGATGGAACGCGTGATATGACTGTCGCACATTGTCAATGCTGCTCTAGTTACACCAAAGCGTTAGTTCTTAACCTGTTAATATTGTAACGTTCAATATATTTGTCAGACAAATACTGTATCAATGCTAATTCTCTACGATAGCTCTCGGAAGCCTGAAAAAACGAGTATGTGATGTTGTCATCGAGAACAAGAATACCAATCCATTCGCAACCTAAGTAAATAGAACTTATGGAATTCGTATGTGAGAATTTCATACCCTGCGCAGAAAATCCAATATTTTCCAGGTGGAGCGATTTTCAGCAACCTTTGCAAAGTGGTCTACGACTTCAGTAAAAACCTTCATGTCCATAGTTACAGGTATCACGTCATGAATGGAGTCTTGCAGTTAGTTTACGTGGCGTGTAATCGGGTCACTGAATAGGTCTAGCGCCACCAAGAGTGAACCCCACAAAGTTTTATTCTCCTTGATTCTCAAAACACAAAGACGGCCATTGTGACAGACGAAACCGAGATTACGGCAACTTGAGAGCTCCAGTTTTTTGTCACTCAATCAGGTCATTGCAGCAACAATTTTTTTTTTCAGAAAGTACCACCACCGTCAACGCGGTGGAGTGAACGTTTTCACCTGCCCCTTGCTTAAGCTTTGCCTCTGTCGAACCATGGCCAATCGGCCAATCGCTTCCTCGCAAACTGTTCAACACAATACAGAAGCATCCGCCACTCGACCAACTGTTTGAGAGTATGTGTGCAGTAGTCAGCACTGGTGCGATCGGCCAGCTCGGCGTAAGCACACGTCGCAAGGTGCTACCGCTGCCTTCGCTTTCGGTTGTTTTCATGGCGACGCACGGCTTGACAACGCCTGACATCGCGGCGACGTCAGCTCGGCAGCGATAGTACGCCACGTACGCGTGGCGCCACCCTTTAAAAGGGCATGTTCAGCCAGAGCAGTAAGTCCCACGCTTCAACGCAGTCCACCGAGACACACCAAGATTTTTTTTCGGCCAAAGGGTTCCCAGACGCCAACATGCGAATCGTGTGCATAGCGCTAATCGCGCTGGCCGGTGTGGCCGCCGCTAAGATCAGGTATGACTGACGCTTCTCTGGGTTCATTGCAGTCGCCTAACGAAAGAAAGTATTCATGACTAAAGTTTTCATTATTAGTGGTAGAGGTTTCATTAAGATTCGATTCGGAGGTTAAGGGAAAAAAATAAAACACACCTGGGGCTAAATTACTAGAATCTCTAATTTGTAATTGCAGTTTTAGGATGATCATCGGGCTTCGCTAACAGAATGCCGCGCAATGCAATCAGCTAAAATATTCTTTTGGGAAAATGTTTTACCGGAAGGTGATTTTGTTTTTAGAGTATGTTGAGCCATATTTTAAAAATCTCAGTGTCCCAAATAATACGATAATGGTACCAAGTATTAGCGGAAATGAAATAATTGCGCAACAGCCTCAACGTCTGTGTAAAGATAATTACTCTGTGACGTCTTGTCACTTTTCTACGAAGTCTACAACCTAAGTTGCTCAGCTACGACAGGTTCTCGCAAGGACTAGCTCAACTTCATGCAGCTAATCTTGTGGATTAAGTGTAAGCTTTACGGTACGTCAATTTTCACTCAAATTCTGAGGAGTAGCCGGCGCCGTACTTGTGCGCTAGCATTTCCTTGTGTACCATATAAATAAAGAAGGAGCTATTCTAAATTATATTTGCGAAATCGTGCTTGCCACGTTAGGTTATGAGCCAAACCTAGAAGCGTTGTTTTGCTGATGTCATTTAGTTCTCTCGATTCGCATAATAATGTAAACTAAAGATGCAAAATACCAACCCAATAGGAACATTAGAGGCCATTTTTATCTAAAACAAAACAGACAAATATCAAAGACTCCCCAGACTATAGCATTTTGTAGTTTACAGCAGTTTATATTCAAGTTTCTGCAACTGTTAGTTGGGAATATGTTTGACGCCAAATATTTGCCTCTTATTCTGATTGATTGATTTGTGTGGTTTAACGTCTTAAAACCACCATATGATTATGAGAGACGCCGTAGTGGAAGACTCCGGAAATTTTGACCACCTGGTTGCCTCTTATTCTCTTTACAATGCTTGTAAACTCAAGTCATGAATCAGAGTTACCGAAGTTAGTGCACAGGTCAGGGCAAAAAATATCCCATGCGTGATCACTGTGCTGCAGCATGAAAGGGTCTTGAAACACGTGCTTTTCGGCGACAATATGTGTGGTTCTGTCGGCAGGATTCCGCTGAGGAAGGACAGGATCATCATGTCGAACTTGTTCCACAGCAGTTCAGAAGAGGTGGGCCAAACCATTCCGCTGAACTACACTCAGGTGAGAAACATTAGGTGCGCCATATATTTACAATATGGCCCTAATATGGTTGCCTATCATGTGGTGCTCGTATTATTATCTTTTTTTTAACATTTTTTCACGTCATATGTGTAGCATTAATTCAACGGCGTGCAATGAAAGCTGCGTAATATTATGGCAGCTATGTATAGACAAGGGCTTTGCCAGCATTGCTTATCCCATAGAAAGTTTTACACTTCCGTACAGTGCGAACATATTCTTGCACAGAAAGGAAGCAGCGCTCATATCAACTGGACCATTTCATTTTCTCATAGAACTTTCTGGTTAAATTTCGCCTCATTGTAGATGGATAGTAAACAATGTAGACTTAGCAGCTCGTTAAACTACTATTACGCAATAATACATAATCTGCAGTGTTTTAAATACAAAGAAACTGCTGTTGAGAGAGCAACTGCCCGCATTACAATATGCACTGAATGGGTGGCGCGAGAAGTTCGACAAAAGCTGGAAATACCGCACTAATGTAGAAACAGTATTCTAACTCAGGCGCCCCTCAAAGAACGGAGTCGCCCCAAAACTTCTTGTACGTTCATAGTAAATATTCGAGTGCTTTCATGATCACAATTCTTGATTGTTACCCCGCACAGAAGAAATACAGCTGCAGATGTTCAAGTATTTAATACTGAACACTGAACTTTACATTCGAACTTCTGCGCAATGTGGAATGATTATTCCTCGTTAGTGAACACAAACAACGCGCGCAAATAATTTGTTGGTCATCACATACTCACTGCGCTTTATAATGATCACCACTTTATTCACGAGATCATCCTTCTCAAAATAAAAAGAAAGGTTTCAAAACTGATATATGACTGGCGGCATCCAATTAAGGCCCCCTAGAGTGATCATGACGATTTAATGCAGTTAACTGTGTATCCTGAATCCTATATAGTTTTTTATCGCTAAGAATATATTACACTGTGCTGAAGGCAGCTACAAACTTACCATTCATACTTGAAGGAACACTTGCTCAGTCGATGTCACCAAAGTTTGAGAAGAATCTACCTAAGCTCATCTTTAACCACGTGTATCAGGTGCAGATAGATATACAGACTAAAGTGAGGTAGGGCGAGATTGTAGTTTTGAAGCCATGCCTCGCCCCACTAAAGGACGTACCGAACAGAAATCAACACTCTCGAGCTTACAACACTTCGCAGCTAATGACACCGCACTGGCATACTAGAAACGTTGTGTGTGAAGGTTAATTGATAAATTGAGGATCGCGTAGGCTACCCTGAGTGCAAAAATTGGTAATTTAGGATTTTGCTTCAAATAAGTTTTCTTAATTGTATCACGCGTTTCTCTTTAACGTCAACTAACATATTTCTGTTGGCAATTTGGTAATTGTGATATGACTAAACGCTAGTGTTAATTAGCAAAGCCATCTTGATATCCTTCCTCTCGCAGCTGCAATACTTCGGCAACATCACCATCGGAACTCCTCCCCAAACCTTCAGGGTCATCTTCGACACCGCCTCTAACCTGACCTGGGTGCCCTCGGTCGGATGCAGCGTCGAGCAGTGTCGTAAGTTCAAGCATACGAATTATACTAGGCACGAAAAGAAAAATGCCCGTACATAACATGCAACAGTACCTACGGGTACTGTTGCGTGATATGTACAACAGTACCTACGTGTGCCAGTTTTCAGTATGCTTTCCACCTTTACACGTACATTTGGTGAACATGTGGAAGTGATCATTTTCATTTGAACCTGCTAGGTGGCAGACGTTAGCTTAGGCGATAATACCACGTCACGATATGCAGCTCAGGAGGGCACAGCTATCACGTATCAGAACGTGGCACTCGTTATCTCTAGTCTAGAGAATGATTTGAGCAATTATTTTTAATGGCAACCTTCTATCGCTACAAATCTAATCGCTAAATTTAGTTTTTACTCAGGCGTCGGTGTTTGAAACAAAATTATGGTCGAATAATAGAAACAGAAAACGCTAAAAACGAAAGTATATGTATATTACTTAGTCCTACATTATCGCAATGCACTTTGAGAGCACCTATGGCGTAAAAACATCCATATTCATCATACCTTAAAAAGAAAAAAATGGTGGCAGCACTTGATTTCATTAGACATAATCGCATCAAACCAAGGGAAGGGCAAGGCGTTTTGTAATTGCAATTCAACCTGCGATTAGCTGATTGTACGTAATGTATTCTGTAATTCCTCCCCCTCTCTCTATGTACAGTAATAAACAAAAGCTACACTGCAAGGTTCAATGCTCTGCAAGTTTCATTGAATCATTATGTTGCACTAAATAATGTTTTTGTGGCATATCAGCTTCAGAAGAAAAAAAGTATTCCCGTATCTGTACTACTGTATCTGTATTCCGGAATACTTTTCACGACTTCTCTCAAAAGTATTCCGAAAATATCCCATTACGTCGACAGGCATTGTATTTCAGTATCTGTGTTTCAGGCTTTCCACCAATATATTTCGATATCTGTATTCGTGGATACGTTTCTAAGTATCTCTCCGCAGCCTTAAAATGAACACGACATGACCGCACATACTGCATGTTGTAGCACATGGACAAAAAGGAGCACCTCAAGATTATTGCTTTAAAGCACGTTCACACATGCATGACCTTTGTGGCCAAAATTCGCAGAGGGCCGTCCCCTGTACGACAACCGCCACTCCACGACGTACGGAGCTTACGGCATCTGGGTGACCGCCCCCTACATCGGTGGCGGCGCCATCACGGGAACGGCTGCCTACGAGACCATCACCATTGCTGGCATCAACGTCACCAACCAGCTCTTTGTGGAGGCTACCGTAATTGACCCCAAGGTGCGCTGAATATCCCCATAACAAGGGGATAGTGGATAATAATATTAACAGTAGCGCTGAAGGTTGCAATATTTACACTAGGCGTGGCTTAGCTCTCATTCTGTCTCGTTATAAGTTTGTCTTTTAAAAGAATCATTCGAGCAACCTGAAACTCTCAACCATGCCTCAGGTCAAGCTTATATTCACCTACCTGCTCATAAAAGAAAAAAAAAAGAGAAGTTAGCCAAGCTTAGCTCGCCTATAGCCGTAATATTACGTAGCTGTATTTCTGCAGAACACTAATTTAGAGGATGTCACATAGGTGCAGTTTAAGACCACATGTTTTGCTAAAAGCCTGCATCTTCAAATGTAGCCATGTAAGTCTTGATGATTTCTCAGTCTTCTGTACTATAATATTTGCACCGAGCAATGCCTCCAGAATCAAGCAAGCTTGCAGTGAAACAGAAGCAGTCGATTTAGAGTAGCTTTTTTTTCTTTGGGGAATTGTGAGAAAATGATGGTTTTCCTAATAATCCCACCTTCGACGTTGCACAGATCTACAACGGCGTGGAGTTTGACGGTTCCATCGGTCTGAGCATCGAGTCACTCTACCTGTCCCAGCACTGGTCCATCTTCGACAACATGTTCATCAACCACCTGCTCCCAGAGCCCGTGTTCGCCTTCTACTTCCACCCGACCGTCAACGGTAGCGACGGTGAGCTCATTCTGGGCGGCATTGAGAAGTCTCACTACGAAGGAGAGCTGACCTACACTCAGAGCGCAACCGACGAATGGCTGATCCGCCTGCAGGGGTGGGTGTTTGCGTTTTTGCGTTTTTACTTTCAGAATACAGTGATCTCCGCGAGTTACAAAAAAAAATGGCAGTCGCGCTATTTCACTAGTATTTCACTAGCCTGCATTCTTTTAAGTACTTTCCTCATTATACCCACAATCTCATGCCTTATATTCAAGCACACTGATCTTTCGTTGCTCCTATTTTGCATTATTGAAGAACAAGTTGTTATATGGTGAAAACGTACCTAAAACATTGACACAATCAGCGAATCACTAACGCTAAATGGACCCAGAGTTAGAGAAACACTAAGGTACCAGCAAGTACAAAAGTATAGGAGATGTTGGTGAACGTATTCTTGAGCTACGAAAGGTTATTTCAGAGTTCAGTTCATCAGATAAGAGAAAACCAAATTGAAGGACCCTTGAGCTTCGTTTTGAAAGCACATCGTGATATAGCGTGAGCGGTACTCAGGTGCATCACCTTATAAACTCCGAACCGGCTTCAGTACTCGGTGCATTCCTCAACCATGCCACAAGGAAAACAATGACAGTGCGCGTAACATTAGCTCTGCAAGAGTGTCATTGAATGCTTATTGCAAGTGCATTTTTAATGTATCCGCTATGCCATAAAATTTATTCGTCTCGCTAATCAGCGATGGGCCACTATGCATATGGCAACATGCGATCATAAGTAGTTGTTCACAATTACTCGTTGCTCAATTCGCTTCTTTTGACTCCTGGTGCAATTAGACGCTTCTGTCCCGCATTCTATTGTTCGTTACGGATATTCCTTCTCCTATATTATATTCATACTCAACAGCGTTTTTTTTAAGTCAGTTTCAACAAATTTGAAACTGGATAAAGGACCTGCGTGCCACGTAGACGGCCTGGGTTGGATCCTCACTCAAACCCGGAATTTGTTTATTTGATTTGCATTCTTCTCAACTCTATGGTCATGGACATTATCGCCAGCTTCGCGCTCACAACCAATGACGCCAATGCTGCCGCCAACGCCGCAATATCTGCGAAATGAGCGCTTTAACGCTGTCGCGTTAATATACTTCTTTACTTCTCACGAGCATGGAAGAGCCTGAGTTGTGTTAGAGCAGATTCACGGATCGGTGGGCGAAAAAGAACTACAGCCTTTGGGAGCCGAGTGCTGAATTGTAAGAAAACAATCGCGTGAACGAAAACCGGGCTACCTTCTCTAAGCAAGTGATACTGCCTCCATGACGCTGGAACCCCCCGCGTGCATCACCGCTCAACACGGAGGCAGGCATACTGACTCCCCGTAACGACAACGTGCTCTAGCGTCCACGGATATGATGAAATGCGACCATCGGAGGCATGGAATGCGTATGTGTGAGCGTTTATCAGACGCTATCTTGAAACTTTTCGTTCGCTTACTGCCCCTGATGAAACTTGTCAAGATTACAGCAGCGTACGCTTTTGGCAAGTATCAATCAGGTAGATTTCAAATACCCAGTGCGAGCGGTGACCATGAAATCAGCGGGATCGCTAACTAGGGGCCTGGTCAGTCTCTGTGCTGGTAACTGCTCTTCATCATTACCAACGATAAGCACTCTACACTTTCTGACGCAGTGTCAAGGTTGGTATGCGCTGGCTGCAGACCGAATACATCTACGCCAAGCCTGTCTCCACTCTTCCCTACATCTACGGTCCCCAGTCCCAGATTGACTCCATCAACAAGGCCCTCAACGCCTCCAAGACCTCTGGCGACGAGGTGAGAGAACTGTGCAGCCAAACACTAACACAGCGATAATGAAAACGATAATGTATGCTTCCAAAGTGAAGTGCAATACGCCGAAAATTTCATCAACACGGAGAAAATGGAACATATTGTTTATAAAGCACTTTAGTTACTTGCCGAGAGATGTTGATGTTCGTTAATATGGCAAAGGATTTCGTAGTTGAAACATATATCACTAAGATTAGTTGATGATACTGCTTTTTTAAACTTTTTAACGTGTACGCCTTTGATGACAGAAAGTTATCTTGCAGGGCGTTTCTGTTTATTTATGAAGATCAGCAATACTTTTAGAGATCGAACAGTGTAATTTGTCATTCACTTGAATATGATTGTGGTACACCAGACTTTCACGTATCACCGTGGTCCTTCGAATTAGTGCATGCGAAGTGCAGTTTGTAGTTTCACAAAGAATTGTCAGCCTTCTTATTTTACTGAGAGGGCCAATGTCATTCCAGTATTCTTGTACAGCTTCTATCATCTGGACACGATTGCCTTTTTGTGTTCAAGACATGTTCAGTGAGCTTCTAGCAATGTAAATAGTAAATATAATGTCTTCATGCAATAGCTTGAGACCCTCTGTTGGAAGTTCAGCGAAAAGCCTCAATGTCTGCTTACGAGAAAATATGTTCCACTACCTCTATCACTATTTGTGTATACCTGCAGATTAGATCACTGGCGTACCATTTTCTTTTGGTAAATATCACTTATTTTTACAAGACACTGCCTTCACATCACACGTCGTTACAGAGCATTCAGTGAATTCGGGTGTAATTTATTGTACTTTTTTCTCTTGATTGATTTCCTTGTAATACCCCATTTCACTAATAATGACAGCAACATTTTTTTGAAAGTTGTGCCTGCGAACAATTCTCGTGTATGAGCAGATTAAGATTACGGGGCTAGACCCTCTCTTTTTTGCCACATTGAATTTTTTCACGGAACGTGCGAAGAGTACTTTAAGGTTATATCAGCTGAAAAACTGTCAAGAGTTCTTGGTTGTATGGCAACATACAAGCACAAAAATTAGAAAGAGTCGTATTTTGCCATAATCATCATCTCTTCGATTTTATTGTTTTATGTTGCCAGAAAATAAATGTTACTGGCGGCAACCACAGTTTCATCATCAGAACCATTCTTAGCATTCGTGAACATAGTGGTTGAAATTCCGATATGGTAAAGTACGTGTGGGAAATACAACGTAATATACGCAAATTTGTTTACAGTTTTCAACTCTTATAGCGAGCTTTTGTTTAAATATCGCCGTCAGGACGTGTTGTAAGATTACCACTAATTGTCACATCGATGTGTGCGCGATTTTAATTGCCTGATCACCTGCGCTTTCTGTATCACAGTACACCGTTGACTGCTCGAACATCACGGCCCTGCCAATCATCAGTATCAAGATCTCCGGCAAGAACTTTGACCTTCGCCCCCAGGATTACATTGTCGAGGTAAGTAGTTAGGATACCTGCAGGGCCAATTCAAGTAGTTCTTACCAGTCAGCATTTTGTAAAACAGCACACATGCGCGAGCCACGCGTTGGTTTCGGTGCTAGAAAACAAAGTATATTTTACAATCAGTGCTGTGTGTATTAAACTTTGTGCCATATTGGTTTAAACTGCTAAACTCGCAGATATCTGCTAAATATAGATAACTCTATTTAGCAGAGATATTGTTATCTATATTTATAAAAAAGATAACTGCTAAACTCGCAGATACGCGAAGAAAAAAAACGTAATGAAAATGTTTCACAAGCGTTGAGCTAACAAACATGGTGTAAATGAACTCGAATTTACGGAACGCGTCTAATTGTGTCTAGTGAAAGAGAGAAAAAGAGGGAAAAGAAGACGAAAGGCAAGGAATATAACCAATCTTTGGCATGGTTTTTGATAGAACGCTTCTGCTTTCGGCTCCGAGCATTGTTATCAAGTTTTTCGCTTTTTACGGGAGACGCTGCTCCCTGCCCCAAGGCGACGGACGCGGAGTCATCCACTGGTCCGCCCAGCCAGAGGTCTGCTATGGCGAGCTCCTCGGTAAATCAGCGCGCCTGGCCCAGAACCAGTGAGGCCAACGGTGATAGTCACTGCATCATGGCTGTGGACGTGGAGCCTTCTGCGGCTCTGTCCGACCATAGACCACCTTTGGCAAGCTCGTCGCGGAAACGAAGCACCTGTTCGAGCACCAGCGAGGACACGGAACTGTACTCGGCCACTGGCGACGACTCGTCGGATGACGACTTCGAGACCGTGAGAAGCAGGAAGGCCAAAAGAAGAAGTATCAAGTCGTCTTCACCAGCAGGGACATTAACGTCTCAGTCAAAAGGAGAATGCTGGCCGCACACCATCCTCTTCATGCCCGAGGACTCCACCATCAGCCTTCGAGCAGTAAACAGGCAAGCTCTCTCTATGTACTTTGAGGGGGTAGCACCAAACGACATTAAGGATATCCGGGTGAACACGCGGAAGAATATTCTAGCTGTGGACACAATGACTGCCAGCGCCATAGACAAGCTTCGCAGAGTATCAGATTTGGGAGGCATCAAAGTTCGACCGGTTATTCCAATGGACGGTGCCTGCATGGCGGGAGTAATCTACGACATTGATTTGGCCATAGCAAACTCGGACCTCCCAACTCTCATAAAACCAGCGAACGAAGGAGTTCTCATCGCGAATGTACTTCGCCTCGGAAACACCCGTTGTGTAAAGATAATGTTCAAAGGAGATTCCATTCCGTCGCATGTCAAAGTGGGACACTTCCGACATCCTGTTCGACCATTTGTCCCTAAACCACTCCAGTGCCATAACTGCATGAAAATTGGGCACATCAAGAGTGTATGTACAAACACCACAGTATGCCCCCGATGCGCTGAGCCGCACACTGCAGACGCATGTCGGGCAACAAGTCTGAAGTGCAGAAACTGTGATGGTCCGCATGATGCTGCATCCAAGGAATGCCCTCGGATTAAGAAGGAAATCGCCATTATCAAACAAATGGTTAGGGACAATTCAACCCACAGAGAGGCTGCTGAAAGGGTACGGCGGCGACGTAGTCGCCGACGGAGGCGTGTAGGACAGAGTGTTGCGCATAACCCATTTCCTCCGAGCACGAGTGAAGTAGTAAGCACGAAGCGAAATGAAGTGGAGAAGCTCACAGCTGCGGATGAGTGGCCTACGCTTCCGCGTACGCAGCCTGCAAAGGAGCCTCCTGCGAGGCCTCGCCGCCCTACACCTTCCACCGAGTCTACTTCCGTTGAGGATGTGTCAAGGGTCGATCGACAGATCATCCCGATGTTACGATCCCTCGTCGCTGTCATGGCAGACATACTAAGAAGCCTAGGAACTCCAACCGCTCGAAGCGGGTTACAGGTGTTGGACGCGCTGAGCCCAGTCCTCGCCTCCCTCGCGTAGAGTCATGGCAGGAGATCAACAATCGTTCCGCAAAGACGTCAGAGAAGCATCAGTCATCCAGTGGAACGCAAGAGGACTTAGATCACGGATTTCCGATTTTCGTCAGTACGTGTTTTCTAACCGTTTCCCAATCATCGTAATATGTGAACCGAAATTATCAAACCCGATCAGGCTATCCGGCTACGAATCAATCCCGTCCAAAACCCGAAACGAAAGCAGCAAGGTCATTGTGTATATTCGTCGGGAGCTTACCTACGTCATTCAACCTGTGTCGCCTCATGATGAGAACCAATATGTTTGCCTGACTGTGAAGCAGAAAACCCTCACCTTCACATTAATAGGTGTCTACTTATCTCCCTCAGCCCGTTTTGATTGCCAAAGACTGGATGACATTCTTTCGAGCGTCCCGGATCCGTGGATAATTATAGGGGACTTCAACGCCCACCACCCAATCTGGGGAAGTTCAAAAGTCAATACCACGGGCCGGAGGCTGGCTTCATTTGTATCGACTCATGAACTGTCTCTACTTAATGATGGGAGCCCTACATTTCTGCGAGGATCAACGTACAGCAGCTGTTTGGACTTGACGTTCGTGTCACGTCGCTTCGCCACAAGCGTTAAGTGGTTTTTAGACATCGAGACACATGGTAGCGATCACATCCCCAGTTATCTCACCATCGAAGGCTTTGCTAGCGACCACCCGCCGAAAACCGTACGGAGGATCGATCTTTCAGCATTCACAACCAACATTGAACACGCTTGTGAAAAAGGCTTAACCTCTGGCATTGAGCAAGTGATCAAACAAGCAGCGCAGAGTGCGATGCGCACGCTGGCATATTCTTCAAGGCCCTCAGAAACGGACGTGGAGTTAGAGCGACTCCGTGCGACTCGTCGGCGTGCGGAGCGTAGATATCGACGCACAAAATCCATTCAAGATCTACGGATGGCCAGGCGCATGCAAAAGAAGATCCAGCGTCGTATAGACAAACTGGAGTTTCAACGGTGGGCGAAATTTTGCGCGAGTCTAGACCCTCGCAAACCGCTTTCTCAAATATGGCGAACCGTGCGAGGCCTACGCATATTTCCCCAACAACGTTTTCCGTTTAAAGCCTTGGCCCTTTTCCAAAATAGAAGGGATATCGAGGTAGCGGAAGATTTTGTAGGAAGATTGCGGGCCCGCCAAATTGCACAGAAGCCCTTACTGCTGATTACACGCCACATTCACTTGACCCGCACCTGGACCTGCCTTTTTCAATGGAAGAACTGAATGTGGCTCTTGCTTCATGCAATCGATCGTCATCGCCTGGGCCGGATGGCATATCATACCGCCTATTATGCAATCTCGGTGATCGAGCACGAAGTGCTTTGCTGGAAGTATTCAATGAGTCTTGGAGAGATGGAACGGTCCCCAGAGAGTGGAAAACAAGCCGGTTGGTTGCACTTCTCAAACCTGGAAAATCGCCTCTAGAGCTGACATCATACCGCCCAATAGCGCTGGCTAGTTGCGTAGGGAAGCTGATGGAGCGAATGATCCTTGCCAGACTCGAGTGGTTCCTAGAACGCCATAGAATATATCCAGACGCCATGGCCGGTTTTCGTCGTCTTCGGAGCTCCATTGACAATGTCATTGACCTGGTGACCTACGTACAACACCAGAAAATGAGCAGACGGTTATCTGTCGCACTATTTTTAGATGTCAAAGGAGCATATGACAATGTTTCTCACGAAGCCATACTTGACGCCTTCGAGTCAGTTGGTTTGGGTGGGCGAGTGTACCGCTGGATCCAATGCTACCTACATATGAGATCATTGTTTATGCAAACTGATGATGGGCCGACTTCTGAACATTATACACACCGTGGTGTTCCTCAAGGTGGTGTATTGAGCCCCACACTGTTCAACCTGGTTCTGATCGGTCTCGTTGAACGCATACCAGATTCCGTGCAGATATCTCTCTATGCAGATGATATTTGTGCCTGGACATCAGGTGTAACACGTCCTCAGGTACGTGCGAGACTCCAGAAAGCAGCGAATTCAATATCGGCGTACCTTAGAGAACAAGGCCTCGAGATTTCTCCTGAGAAATCGGCGCTGGTCGCGTTCACGCGGAAGGCAATGACGTGATATCCCATCGCCATCGATGGACACAGTGTCTGCTACGCCAGGACCCACAGGTTTTTGGGGGTCACGATCGATCGAAATCTCTGCTGGAGTCCCCATGTGACCACTCTAAAGAAGCGCCTAACAGCCATCGCACAACTTTTCAAGTTCCTCGGAGGCAAAACGTGGGGCACATCAGTGCACGCGATGTTGCATTTGTACAAAACGCTGTTTCTGGGGTACCTGCGGTATAGCTTGCCGGTTCTGACGAACGCTTGCAAAAGCAGTATACGCACAATAGAAAACGCCCAGGGCCAGGCACTCAGAGTTTGTCTTGGATTACCACACTGTACATCAACAGCGGAAACCATCGCAATCGCCAAAGATCATCCGGCCACAGTACACATTACTTTGGAGGTGCTTAGAGCTCATATTAGACACCTTGCTCGCGCCCCTGCCCACCACCTAGCTTCGCTTCCAGAAGATCGACCGAGTGCCTCCTTCTGTAAGAGAGTATTGACTTTCCGTGAGTGCCTTCCAACAGTCTACACGCCTCCGGAACGGATACTAACACCTCCTTGGTGCTTGGACCGACCAAAACTGCGCTTGACAGTGCCGGGGATTCGCAAGAAGGCGGAGCTCTCGGCGCCAGCTTTAAAGCAGATGATTCTACTCATGCTACACGAAGAATACAAAGATCATGTCAAACTTTACACGGATGGCTCGACAACTGTTGGAGGATCTGCAGGAGCTGTGATCTTCCCAGCAAGAGCCGAAACCATCCAGTTCAGAACGTCACACAAGACGACATCGACAGCCGTGGAGCTCGCGGCACTCCGCAGCGCACTCCGCAGGATTGACCAAGAGACACCACAAAAATGGAGCATTTTTACTGATTCGAAACCAGCTCTCCAATGTCTACACAATGCTCTACGTCGTGGACCTCAAGACCAATTGGCGCTCGAAATACGACAACTGTACCATCACCTAATAGACGAAGGACATGACATATCTTTTCAGTGGTTACCAGGCCATTGCGGCATCATCGGTAACGAGCATGGCGACAATGCAGCTAAGAATGCTCACGAAAATGGAGTGATGGAACCTATTCCACTATCAAGAAGCGACGCAGCAGCAAAGATTAATACGCTTGCGCAGGATGTCGCAAGGTCTATGCGGAATACGCCCGGTTTTCCTCCACACCCGTCTTCACCGCCTGGACCCATGCCTACGACTTACTATTCCATCTGGCCTACCCCGATCCGAGACGACCCTTCTCTGCCGTATGTGGCTTGGGGTGTCTTTCACGAACGCTTTTGCCTGCCGCATCGGAATGAGAGACAGCGCTACATGCGACCATTGCGACAATGACGAAACAATTGAACATATTTTATGTCAGTGCCCCCAGTACAGCTCTCAGCGACAGTCCCTCTCAGCAGTGTTTGCTCGCCTCGACGACCAGCCATTTTCTGAGCAGTCAATCTTGGAATGTCGGAAAGATCGAGCTTCACGCCAGAAAGCAACGAAGGCGCTGATGAAGTTTCTGCGAGCGACCCGCCTCGTTGAACGATTGTGACACTACTGTGTGCGAGTGTGTGTGTGTGTGTTTGTGCTTCTCTTCCTCCCTTTCCCATTTTTTTTTCCTGTCTCCCCTTACCCCTTCCCCAGTGCAGGGTAGCAAACCGGATATGTTTTCTGGTTAACCTCCCTGCCTTTCCGCATTAAATTTTCTCTCTCTCTCTCTTTGGCATGGTTGGCTACCCTAAGCTGTTTGCTCCAATGTGCCAGATTCGCTTATACTGTATGGCGTTACCACTTCTTCTATCGTAGTAATTTGAAACACTAATACGCTGTTGATAGCCATGCGCATCTCCTGCGACACGCTCATTAACCAATATTACCATGGTGCGAGCAGTGGGTTCTGCAACAGAATTAGGTTACCCTTAAGATTCGCCTTTAAGATTTGAACGCGATAGGGATATCCTGTCCCTAGCGCGTGCTTCAAACACTTCGTGAATGAATTTTTTTTCGAACTTGCTGGGCACTCAGCATACGTGACCTTAAGGTAATGGGCGAAGTGAAGTGTGCGCCTTTTGTATTGGGTGCCTGGCTTTAAAAAATACAGTCATCATTATATTCACACGTTATTTCACCCCAATGTACGCTTGTGTCCTGCTATAATATTTTGATATTTTTTTATCTTTATTGTAAATCATGTATGCTGGACACGTGCGTTTGTAAAGCATGAACGTTGCTTTCATTGCATTTCCAAGCAGAGGAAGCTATTCTCACTGTGTTCACCAACAGACGCGTGGTTCTGTGGCAAAGCACCCACATGTTACGCAAACGACCGGGGTTTAATCCCCACTCGGGTCCGAATTTTTTTATTATCTATTTTATTTGCACAAATCTCGATTTTTCACTCATGCCCAAGATGATGATTTTTCGCTCGCAACGAACGACGCCGACACCAATACCAACACCAACGCCGTAGTTTCTGTGACAGAACACTTTAACGTTATCACGTCAATATCTTGATTTTGATTCTGCGTAACCTATACGAGTTATATTTCGTGAACGAGACGTACAAGATTCTTTGTTTTAGTGGCCTCGGTCTGTTACTAACGCCGAATAGCAATTACTGGTCAGAATTAAAGGTCGAAAGCAAGCAACAAACAATGAACGATTATAATGTCGTAGCAGTGTAGCTATCGCAAGGTACAATACACTACAAATACGGATTGATAAAATATACTGAAGGGTCGAATTACCCAAGGTTTTGTTTCACCAGTCCCGGTCCACATGGAACCTAAGCTTCACTAAGGATAATTTCAGACTTAACATTCCTTTTTTTGGGACAAACCAATAGCATCAGACATGTTTATGACCACGTCTCGATGTCTTCGCAAACTCTTTGATCTCAAACTTGACCGAAGTACAAAAAAGCATCCAGGTGCACCCACGTTCTTCTACTTTTGTTCGTTGATTTTCAAGAGACACGAGTAGAGGTGGGTCAAGAGTGAATTTTAGTACAGAATTTATTACTGGTACTGTAACAGACTTTTACAGCATTATTCTAATACTTTTAAAGAGAGTGGTGACAATCTTTAAAGCAACCCAGAATGATAATGCAACAATTTTCAAAAGGCGCCCCGAAAATTTCACAAAAATTTATTTGAAACGAATCTTAACTAGCATTAGAGAGGAATTACGCGATTACTTATAACGGGCGAAAGAGCCCCGAAATTTCGACATGGCGGAGACAAGCTCGCATACAGGAGCAACTAGTTCATTGAAAATATCTCGCAAATGCAGGTTCAGATAGAAGAGTGACTAAAGTTCACCGAAGAACCCAATCAGCAGCTTCCAGATAAAAATTATATATCACTTTATGTTGATAAAATTTATATTTCAATCAGCCAGCATCACCACGAATGTCATGATGAAGATAGCAAATTCAAAATTCTGTTGCTTCACCAAAACTTGCGTTTAAATAAACGACGGAAAATAGAGTGCGGAAGGTAGTGAAAGACATTAGGCTGCATGCGTCGTAGTAATTCAGGGATTACAACGAGAAACAATACCACTCTCTCTTCGAATGTTACATCGCATGGGGGTGTCTTTCATCGGTGCTCATTCTTGTGAAAAATATTCGGTATTCTTGCTGTGTACAACTTCATACGATTAGCAATCAGTGGAGATTTTTGAAACCAACTCTTCAAGACGGCTTTCAGCTCTCCCATAGTAGAGCACCAAGTACTCTAAATCGTTAACTAATTTTTCTAAACACACACACAGAATAAAAAGAAGCAGAACAATAATGCAATTATTAAGCGAAATTTTCGAGTAGATCTAGACCACTGCTGCTGCTGTGCAGCATATACGGTGTAGAGTCTGGTTGATCCCCTTTGTTGCTGATGTCTCCCACTTTCTCTTTCTATATATATATATATATATATATATATATATATATATATATATATATATATATATATATATATATATATATATATATATACGTACAAAAAAGTGTTCTGCCGACAACATGGTGCTACCACCTGGCAGCGGCTTTCGATTCTGCACAAGGTCGCATTTCCTGGCGGCACTGCCAGATGGCGTCCAAGCCTCACGCCGCACCACCTTATTTTATGAATGCCAGCCAGATGCGGCTGATTCAACGCCGAGGAGACGCTGTCTGAGGCAAGGCAAAACATACAAGGCCACTTAGCCGGCAGAAGACTATTGTCTTTGGCCGACATTTACAGCACATAACTAAGACACGTGATCCATTTCTCTCTTTTGCTGTGTGCCCTGCTCCATCTCTAACGTGGTTTCAATTACGTGGTTGTAGGTGAACTCCACCTGCTACAGTGGTTTCGTCGTTGACGAGGACCACCAACAGCCTGGTGCCTCCACCTGGCTGCTGGGCCAGAACTTCCTGCGCCGTGTGTACACCATCTTCAAGACCGGCATCTTCCTGTGGGACAAGCAGCTTGCCTTCGCTTACACCCGCCCAATCGTTTACTAAATGATGAAAGCCTGACAACCACAGGCACTCTCATGCACTCCCCTGAGAGATGGCGCTGGTGCAAGCAGCTGCCGCATGCAATTTTTATTAGAGTTGGTTTTCACAGTTGAATGAAATCAATCTCAACTTTTCAAATCGGCAAGAACCAGACTTTTTCATTTCTACCGATGTATGTGCATTTGAAAAGCCAGAAAAATGGCATCAAATAAACGATTCAAGAATGAAACTGTGTAACAGCTTGTTTCTTTGTTGATATTACGTTAATTAAAACTTATTTCATTTCTGTAGTATGAATTAACGAAGGGACAGGTATCCCCATAGTACACACCAAGACATTATTATCGCAATTGGAATATTGATTGTCTTATTTAGTAAGCATAGATGCATGGACAAATAATTTTAAGTGTGGGGTCAGAAATAATCTTTTGGCTTTCGGTTCACGCATCTAGACCGCAGCGGGGAAATACGAGTAGTGTTAACGATATACGCAATAACCAGGCACATGGGATGAGCTTCTCAAGTGTCCCACGCAGAGCATCAGGCTTAGGTAAGATCTGGCACTGTCGTTTCTATAAGATGCAAAAAAAATATTTCACCTCTTTGAGATAAGATGAGTGTAAGTGGACCTGACATTTGAGATGAACCACAAGGAAGCACCTTACGAACAACACCTCACACCAAACATTTTTTTCTTTACTTTCTTTATGCGAAGCCTACCGATTAGAACTTCGAGTAGTCGACGACAAAGTTTTGACTGACTGTGCCAGATGGCGATTAAGATTGTTGTCGCAATAACATATAAGAAAAGACCATTATACCTATTTAATCCTAATAAGGTACGCAATTACAGAGCTTTAAGCCATTTTTGTCTCCTAGTTTATAGGTGTGGAATGCTCATTCGCACAAAAATCATGTGATTGGAAATCCAGGAATCTGTCATTGCCCAGCATACCAGACCGAACGACGTATTATGGAAGCCAAGCTCTGTCAGCTGGATTCACGGTCGATTAAAGAAGAGAAAATCCTGGAACCTTGGCCGACGGCTTCCGATACGCGCAAAGCCACGAAAGCCCTCTTGTACTTTTTAAGGACCACCAAACTTCACGACCGCTTGTGAAAGAACAGTGCGAGGCCGTGCTGTGTAGTCTCGAGCTCATTATTTATGCTTCTCCTTCTTACTCCTCTTCTTTTCTGTCTCTTTCCGTTCTATTATTCTCCTTTTCCCCCACCCCAAGTGTAGGGTAGCCAACCGAGCCAAGCTTGGTTAACCTCCCTGCCTTTCCTCTCTATTTATCTCTCTCTCTCTCTCCCAATACAGTTTCGTACTCCTGACAAGAACCTTTCCGCCCGCTCGGTCACTGCACACTTCGATACAGTGGCGTAACGACTTCTCGCTGATGGGGGAGGGGGGGGGCGAAAAAATGGCCTCCCTCCATTTTCACACACACACACACACACACACACACACACACACACACACACGCACACACACACACACACACACACATATATATATACATATATATATATATATACATATATATATATATATATAGATATATATATATATATATATATATATATATATATATATATATATATATATATATATATATATATATATATATATATAATTAAGAATAAAGGAGCACACTTACGAAAATTTGATAATTGTTTACTCTACGTTTCGGCCGTGGCACGGCCTTCGTCAGGATTAAGATCTGGCACTTTCGTTTCTATAAGATGCAAAAAAAAATATTTCACCTCTTAGAGATAGGATGAGTGTAAGATGAGATAAGATGAGTGTATATATATATATATATATATGATTCAAAAAAGAGATTCTGAGGGGCCCGGTGCAAATATAATTAGGAATAAAGGAGCACACTTACGAAAATTTGATAATTGTTTACTCCACGTTTCCGCCATGGCACGGCCTTCGTCCGGATTAACCAGCCTTCGTCAGGATTAATCCTGACGAAGGCCGTGCGACGGCCAAAACGTGGAGTAAATAATTATCAAATTTTCGTAAGTGTGCTCCTTTATTCCTAATTATATATATATATATATATATATATATATACATATATAGATAGATAGATAAAATAGATGATCAGAGTTTCTTCTGGCTACCGTAAAAAAAGTTATAAACTTCGAGAATAGTGCAGTATAGGAAACAAAACAATAAAATATCTATTTATTCCTAACAGTTTCGGCTGGTGGACCAGCCTTCTTCGGAGGATGTAAGTGAAATGATACAAATTCCCGGAGCAGAGGGTCACCCTCACAGTTTAAAGACCCTCCAAAAAAAAGAGACAAACGGGCGAACGAGGTAGCAACAGACAACAAGAAGCAGAAAAAGGAGAGGAACTAGAAAGGAGCGACGGAGAGCCGCCGGAAACGAGCGGGTAATTCTGGCATTGTTACTGGGTATAGGTAAGACGCGCCGCCAGCGGAGGCGACCAAGAAAAACGGAAAAATGTGGAACATGTTGCCGCTTACTCGCATCCCACACATGGATCGAGTTTAAGTTCACGTGGTTCGGCGGCTGGCCCGTGGCATTGGACCACACACACACACACACACACACACACACACACACACACACACACACACACACACACACACACACACACACACACACACACACACACACACACACACACACACACACACGCACACACACACACACACACACACACACACACATATCCTCCATATCACAACTTTTGAGTGAGTGCTCTCGATTACAGTCGCAGTTATGCCAACAAAGGTGGGGGAAAACCTCGGCGACTGATAACGATAGCATCACTGCTCCATTTTCCCTAAGTACTCGAACCATAGGATTCGCAACGCTTGCGCAAGTACCTAATCCTGCCCCCCCCCCTTTTTTTTCCTTTTTTTTCTTTAAAAAGCTTGTTACTATTGCGAATGGCGCCTTGTCTAAGTTCGCAGCGGCAAACAGGCTGCCCAAGGTTCCCTGCTGCATCGCTGGTTGGAACGACAGCCCGACGTGCCTGGCTACATGACTCCTGGTGAAGAAATGGGCTTCGACATCACAGAGGCCACTGCTACCATCCTCGTCAACGTTTACTCATCCTCAAGACCACTGGCTCGCATCCCACTTCGTTGTTTGTTTTTGGACTTTCTGCATTCAACGACAATGCATTTAAAATAAACACACACACACACACACACACACACACACGCACAAACACACACACCACCCACGCAACACACACACACACGAACTCCAAAAACTCAAGTGGGGGAAATACACTGCTGCTGCATATCGACCTGCTCATTCCTGAGAAGCTAACTAGTTTATTTATTACAGTTTCATGCTGCACTCACTAGGTTTTACCCATGTTTTTTTTAACTAATTGGCTTTTTCAAATAAAAATAAAATTTGGGAAGTTTCCCCTCTTCATTTATGTTAGATTGGCTTGAGCCCGTTATACCTCCTGGTGGTACGGGCTACCCCCCTTGTTCCTTTTAGTTATTTTTACATATAGGGGGCGGAAAAAGCACACACACACACACACACACACACACACACACACACACACACACACACACACACACACACACACACACACACACACACACACACACACACACACACACACACACACACACACACACACACAAGAAGCATACGACCCGCTCCAGCTTTCGGAACATAATGGCCACGTTGGAAAGCTAATGTGCCCTCTCCCCCTCCCTCCACCTGCCCTCTCTTGCAGAAAAATGTACAACCAGTCATACTGAAAATAAATAAATGAATGGGTATCCTTGTAAAGGATGAACAAACAAAAACGTAAACAAAAATATATAAAAATAAATAATACTAAAAAGTACTCAGAAATGAAAATAAAGTCTAATAATACTAACACACGCCGTTTGGTTCACGTAGCATCGAATTCGTTTAGTTTCACGCGCTATATTGACCAACTTGCGTGTGCGACTTCCCGTATGTATAAATAAATAATTGAGTAATTCAATTTCTGTGTTTCACGAAACGTCGCGGAGGCACGTCAGTCGCCCAGGGCTCTCGTTGATTCCGTGGGTAAGTGATCTGAATTTCTTTATAAAGTATGACTCACGCTGTTCGCGCTCCCGTGTGTTCTGGAAGCCGGATTGTAGGAGTATGACACTTACGCATTCGAAAGAGTGACCAGGAAGATTGATATGTTTGGAGAACGGCAAATTGGGGAGGCCCTTTACGTGTGCCCTGTGGTTGTTGAAACGCAAACGAAACGTGGTTTCCGTGTGTCCAATATATTCCTGTTTGCACACCTCACAGCGAATTTTGTATACCACATTGGCTGAGTCACAGTTAAGGTCGTCTTTAATTTTGTACACATAGTCTGAACAGGAGGCTTCGGCCGTATCTGTGGCCACCATGTGTGTGCACACCCTGCAGCGAGGTTTCCCGCACGGTCTACAGCCCTGATGGTGGTCGGATTTGTGTGTTTTCGCCCTGACCAGTAAGTCTCTCAGGTTTTTATTTCTTCGGTAAACCACCTTGGGCGGAGTCAGAAAAATGGCAGAGAGGCGACTACTCTGTTTAAGTATGTTGAAGTGGCGGTTTAGTATAGAATTCACCCGAGGGGTGGCGGCGCAGTATGTGAGGATTAAATTTGCCCCTGAAGTTATATCATCTTTATTCCCAACTTTTTCTCCCATTCTTGATTCTCGGTCCAAAGAGCGAGCGCGCTCAATTGCATTGTCAATTATTTTTTCGGTGTACTTTTGACGCAAGAAGGCTGTTCTCAATTCCTGTGCGTGGGTGTCAAATTGCGTGATTTCAGAGCAAATTCTTCTGTATCTGTGGGCTTGAGAGTAAGGAACACCTGTTTTGCAGTGATGGGGGTGACTGCTATGGAAATGCATATACTGTTGGCGGTCTGTTGGTTTTTTATACAGGAAAGTAGATATGGTGGTGCCACTGAGTGATAAAGTGACATCCAGAAAGTGAACACTCTTCTGCGAATACGTGTGCGTGAATGTTATCGAAGGATGCACGGAGTTGAAACCGGAAATGAATTTGGAAAGATTATGTTCACTATCGGCCCACACGAAGAATATATCATCGAGTAAGCGTCGGTAAAAAAAAAATTACGGCATATTCACGGGGTGAATGATGATGAATGGGCGAAGCTCCGGAGGGATTCATCGGTAAACTGTGAATCTTCCGTGTAATTTGCCCAGTCGATCATCATGTAAAG